CGGGAATTTGGAATATATTATCCTAGAAATATAACAATCCAAGATTACATTCAGGTAGGCAAACTATATTACAAAATGAATTAATCCGCAAATTTTAACTCCAGCACAATTGCGAACTTACTTGAAATGGTACCGGCTCACTTTAGACTAATAATTTCGAAAGAAATAAGATCTCTGTAGCACAAATTACCGCAGTCAAACTGATAATTTCCAAAGAAGTGAGGACTGAGCAAAGATTACCGCAGTCAGATTATCCCTTTTGCGCAGCAAATTCGTTGTCAGCTGATTCTCAAGCTTTTGCTTTGTGGTTTCGAGTGCACTGCGCTCCTTTGACACCTGATCCAATCTTTGCTTCTTCTCCAAGATGTCTCTCTATAAGTTAGGAACAAGATTTGCAGGTACAACAAATTGCTGTGAGAGATAAACAAGTGCACAATAGCAAGACGCCACAATACCTGTAACCTTTCGCACTCAGCCTGCTCGTTTCTGCTGAGCTGAGAATGAAAATCGGACCCAATCTGCCCCTCGTAGCCTTCTAACTGAGCGCGCAGCTCACGCACACGATTACGCAAGTTAAGAAGTTGAGCTTTCTTAAATAAGATGAAGATAGTGATAAATAAGGTTGTACGAAGAATTTGATCATCTCAAAAGTGCTATGGTTTTCGTATTCAATGACCTAATACCACCACAATTTCGCTGATTGAATGTGCTCACCAGAAGTTGCAGGTGCTGCTTGTTGAAAGAAACCGAAACAAGAAAACTAGATCAATTCTCGGTTGCGAACACATCAGATGCTGCGTTCGCGACAAAGATTTTGCAGTGCAAACTTCCGCGTATTTTTATCATAAAGTATATGCAACTTAAAAGCTAGCACTCCATTATACAAAAATTTTACCTTTGGCTCACGATTTCTCCCCATCGCATGCATTTGTTCACTGGCGTAACGTTTTTTGTCCGTTAGATTACGATGCTGTTGCTTGTAAACCCGCATGTCGTTGTCTGCCTAAAACTTAATTATCAATTTGATTCAAAAAGGTGATGTTGCTAGACAAGAACTTCAGCAAAGCGGGCTTATAATAACTCTAAGAAGCTAATCGTCGAATTATCCGATTATTCGAAAATTCGGAACTCGAAATTTGCGAATAAAGTCCAATATTCAAAAACTTCGATTTCCAATTATACGGCTATTAGGATATTAATATT